GGGCTGACAGGCACCGAGCGGCCCCCGCTTGTCGTCTGCCACCTCGCCATCCCACGACCTGCTAACAAAGCATTTCAGGGTTCTGGCTTTTGGTTTTAGCCCGTTGTGGCTTTTGGACTGTAGGTCTTCCGGGTGTGGGGCTTCGGGATTTTTAATCCTTCCCCCCTAATATTAAACGGAGGGGGACCCACCCCCAATAGAAACTCGCAAAGTCTTGTTTTATTATTTGCGGGTATTTGTATCTCTACTGTCACTGTTGAGGGCTCTTGCTCTTGCGCCTGCGCAGGCGTTTGTTCCTGCTCCTGCTGTGTCTCTTGCTCTCGCTCCTGCACCTGTTCTTGCTCTTGCTGTGGCTTCTGCTCTTCCTCCTGCTCTGGCTTTTATCTCTTACTGCAGCTCTTGCTCTTGCCTTTGATCTTGATCCTGCTCTTGCTCCGGACCCCCCTACTGGCCCGAAATTGGGAATTGAAGGGCAGGGGTGATGTCGGGTGGATTCGCCCCAATGTGTGTTTTTTTCATGTGGGGGGGGGGGGGGGGGGGTGTTTTGAATAAAGGGGGAAGTGACTATCAGTGTTGATGGGCGTTTTGCTCTATCCCCTCGCGACCCTACCCACCTACCCTCCGCCTCACAACCACACATCAAAACAGTTCAAATCTGCAGAGCCTGAAATCCTAGGACCCTTAACCGTAAAGCACCAAAGCCCCCTAAACCCTAACAATCACAATTTCTCGGCGAGAAGGCCTCCTCTGCCAGGTGTTGGGGCGCTTAGGGCAGAAGTCCCAGACCCTCGCTGGCCAAAGCGTTCGCTCCATGCCTCGGGGTTTTCGTCTGGTTGCTTTCTTGAGGACAGTGAGGGTGCCTCGTTTTGGGGTTCAGTGCTGCAGGGTTTAGGAGTTAGGGAATGCAAGGCCTCGTGGCATGACTAGTTTAGACTTTGGCGGTTGCGAGCCCGAGAGGAAAATTGCTAATCCCTATGCCCACGACCCAGGATCTCTAGAGCCGTCCACTAAGTTTCCGGCGGATCATGGAGCATTTCTGCCGGTGCTCATTGGCGGACGGGTTGAACCAGCGAACTTCAAACATCTCCTCGAGGTGTGACGGTCGAGGGGTTCCAGGACGAGGTTCACCCGAAGCCTAGCCCAAACCTATACCGTTCGACCCGCAAAGCTGAAAACGTCATCGAAACGATTTCCGGAGTCCTTGTTCGGGATGCCTGCCAAAGCAGTCTCGAAAGCTTTGAGGCTGGTCACCCTCCTCAAGCACCGACGCAGGTTGGAGGGGGGTTGCTTGATACTCTTCGGGTCCTTGTCCGAGTAACTGGCTTCTAAGCACATACGTAAGAGAATCAACCTCTTGCTGGTGGCCCCTCTAACAGTCAACTCCGGTTTCCGTGAACTCCTTGGAAAGACCCGGAATTCCGACAACCAGACGAGGCTTTGTAAGGCTGCAGGAGTTCTTTCTAGAATGAATCCGACGGACACTTCTTCAGGGATCCTAATCAATGTCTTGTGGGCGTCTTCTGAACCTCCAGCTTCAACTTCTTGATGCCGTGGGGCTGGAACAGGGTTCCGAAGCTTCGAGCAAAACTTGTATGGGGCTGTATATTGCAGTAAGGGGCTCCAGAAGAGCACGTAAGACTTCAAGAGGGCCTTCTATACTGTGCTCCCACGAGCGTTGCGGTGCCCTGCGATCTTATTCTTGGCGGCCAAAGAGCTTCCCGGCCACGGAGGTGATCACAGCAGAGACCGGTATTTGGAGGCCAAAGCCTGTTCGGGTTCCGGGGGACTCCCAAACCGGTGAATGAAGCAGGAAAAACCTTAAAATCGAAGTCAGGATGTCTCCAAAAACTGCAAACTGCGGCTCTTACCTGAGAGGTTTTGATGAGGGAGAGCACGGATTGTTTGGGGTGCACCTTTGGGTTTCTGCGGTAGTGTCGGGTTCGGAGATTCAGGCCTGCATTTCGGGCACAGAGCGGCTACGATGGGCACTCCCAAAGGCTCAACATTGAGGATACTCTAGCAGCCATGGTGTTGGTGTTTTTGGGTGAAGGCTTGCTTTTCTGCTGTTGTAAAGAAACTCAGGCCCCCTTTTGATGCGCACGCGAACCGCCGGAATTCGAGGGACCATCCAGTGTTGACAGGCTTAGGAGTTGAGGGTATTGGACTAAGGGAATGAGGCCAAGGGGAAGAAGTTTAAGTTTAGGGCCAGAAATGACAGGCCGTAAGGCTTGCGGCGGGCAGACAACGACTGCTGAGAGCCACAATGGGATGATACTCGAGTTCCAATGCAGTTAGGCTGCTGAAGCCGCTCTGGGCGACGTAGATGCCGCGGTCCGAGATTGGAATGTTGTAGGTCTTGCAGGTGTGATAGGACAAGACGTGGAAGACGCCTTAGCTGATTCCTGTCACTAGAGTTTGGCGGCCCTTGGTGGCTCTACGGAACAGCCGTGCATGGTTCCCACAGCAGCCTCCCAGCCGTGTCTTTCCAGATTTGGTGGGCTGGTAGAAATAAAATCCCGCAGTGTCTCAAGGCTGCATGCTGGCGTTCCTAACAAAACACAGCCCCCAGAGCGAACCATCCTCTAACCTGTACCTAACCCCCTGGAAGCTTCTAGCTTTGTGTACGTGATTGGGATAGCGGGGATCAGGCTGTATCTCCTTGAAAATGCCGCGGCACCACCCCCGCATTCCACAAAGTCGTGAGATATCCTCGGCTCAAGCAATTTTGGTCACCCCGTGGCACAAAAACAAAGGTCGTGTAAGAAGACAACACATCACCCAAGACCAAACCAGGCAGCATACTTGAGTTTAACCCAAGCCTTGCGAGATCAAAGGGTCGCCGTAGACTCCTGGCCTACACCTTCAAACGGTTGAGACTCGGAGCTTAGGCTTCAAAGCTCATAGTCGAAGGTTCAGGGATTGGGGTAAAGAGGAGAGCGCTACTGCATCGGGACCACGGAAGAAGTCGTGAAGAAACGAAAAGTACATCACACTCCTTGAATGCTCAAATGCTCAAGTATAAGGAGCAAACCTCTGAAACGGCAAGATCCGCGATATATCGCGATATCAGGACCCCTCATTCGAGATCCGTAATTGCAGGAACTCCCAGATCATAGACGGCTCGTCGAGTGGCAACTTGTGAAAATCTACAACCCTCAGGCCGATCTTGAGCACGTCCCCAGCACGAGAGATCTTGATCAGCACTTCCTGCCGAAGGTACGCGAGATGGCTGTATGGCATCCCTAGGATCAGGCGTGTTGATCTGATGATCCCACGGCCCCGACTAGATATTGATGCCGACAGGCTCTCAGAAAGGGCTTGGGCAGGAGTCGTGCAAGCACTCTTTCTGGCTTGGGGCGTTCAGGCTCTTCGGATCAACATCATACGACGGCTATGGAACATATAACCCTGCATGCAATTTGCGCTTCCAAATCAACATGCAAACAGTCATCGAGTCGTCAAGCTTGTGGCCCCATAATACATAGACCAGCACTCTACGTAGTACATGAAAGAACAACACGCAATTGCAAAGTCAACTTCTCAGCAAAAGCCTGAACTTCAAGCCCAATCAAGACAAAGCCCGAGGCCGTAAGCCGAGCAAACCCCACTTGTCAGTCCTGGTCCACTTCAGAATCGAGTTGATCCTCCAAGGTCCTTTCCAGGAAACTGTTCCAAGAGTTTAGGCTCAAGATTTAAGATATTTAAGGTTTACAGTGCAGGTATTCGGTTATGGCCCTGCCCAATTGGGCTAGAGTTGAGAGTTTACGGATAGGACTACACATGGTCGAAGAATCTGCTTCTGCAGCTACAGCTAGAACATGTAAGAACCGCATTGGTTGCTGCAAGAACGACAACGTTTTGTCTAAGGCCCTACGTGCTAAACCAGCTGACAAGCCTGTGTAAATTTGAGATACCACTTCGTCTCGAAACCCTGGGACATGAACGGGCCACACCGCTTGAAACCATCTAGGACACCACAACTGTGTATGTAGGCCGTTTCCTACAACCTACGCACCCATGTCGAACCAGTCTCTCAAAATAGTTGAAACCTCATAAGAAAGGCCCAGGGGGCACGAAGTTCAGGCATGGCTGGCCGGCAATCTCAAGCAGCACGTCGCCAGGCTTCAGTTTCCTCATACAAGTGGGCTTCGGGCTCAGGCTTCGGGTTCCATCAGTTTAAGGGATGAACGGTACTTCCGAGGAAGAGGAAGAAGAAAGGGCAGGTCACAGCGGCGCTTAATGTGACTGTGTAGGGCTTTGAGGAGGTAGAGGGCTTACGGAAGGGAGTAGCCTGTGATTTGTGAAACTAAACGATCTTATGCATGAAGGTTGCCAGTTGCCAGGAGGCTTCGAAGCATTATATACCAGCCCTGCGGGTACGCAGACGCAGCAGCTCGTGACTATCCTCTTTACTGTGCACCGACCAGTATGTGAGAATCCAGGAACTTTTTCAGCCGCCGATATGGCATCACGACATTCCGAGGCGGACTTTCTTCAGAAGGCCCTTTCAAGCAGAGCAGGCGCCATGGTGCTGGAGGCTTTGGTTGCGGGCCTGTGCTTCGGCGTTTTGTATCGGATCTGAAGTTTCAATCGAAGGTTCGGGCTTCAGGATTTCGGGTTTAGGACCTAGCATGTAGGGCCTAGGACGTTAGGTAGGTCGGGCCCCTGGAGCTAAAGCAAGGGTCCTAAGAATATGCTGTATGTATGTCGGTTTAAAGTTATATACCGTTTAAGGCTTAGTCGCCGCCGCCCGCAGATTCCCACAGCCACGGAGCAACAGCTCGTGCGTGTGAGGACAACTGCCAAATTTGCGCTTTCGAGTTCTACCGGTCCCAGCGTTTAGCAGGATGAACAAGGCCATCCGTAGGGTTCCCAAAGAGAGATCACTCTTTTGATAGCTGTCCTTGCCTTCTGTTCACAAGGCCATGTGGGCAGCCACACTGGCAGTGACACAACTCTGCTAAGAGACTTTAGCGTTTGGAAGTCAATACCAGAAGGGCTCAGAACCAACGCCGGCGCGCCCATTTGTGTTGGCTCCACGATGTCCTGGGATATGGAATCGGCCATGAGGCTAGGCTTTTGTTCATAGCTCTGCACATCCTATCCGCCAACTCATTAGCGATGCCACAACCTGTGATGTGAGGGCAAGAGCTATGCGGCACAGACCTTTGAAACCACGAATATCGAACAAATAGAAAGCAAGCAGCATCATGAAACTGTGCTTTGCCTAAACCACATACCGTGTTCGCTGAACCATAACCTGGTGTCCGCGGGCTTTGCCACTGGCGCTTGGCCCCACGCCCCCAATTCCTTAGCTGAGTGCATGGCCACATGTGGCTTGCAGGAGATTCGTTGAAAGTCTTGCGCAACTTGCAGCTCGGATTTTGTATGTTTTTGTGAGGTTGAACCTTCATTTAATTTTGATGCTTCTTTCCGATACATGCTGACGATTTTTCGGAACTTTCAGGTACAAGGCCTAAGGGTTGCCTTTAATCCTGATCCACCTGAACTCTGCACCAAAAGCCCCCAAACACGTGAAACCTGAACACAATCCCACGCCTCCAGACGTTCAGGGTGCATGTAGAACTGTAGGGTTCGGGAAGGCAACAGATTGAGGAAGCTAGTGGCCCAAGAGGTTAAGGCAGAGCATTAGGGATCTCTGCATTTTCAACTAGCCGCTTAACTAGCCTCGCGCTCAAATGATAAGCATGTCCTTCGACACAGAAGGGTGAGACTACCAAGCGCGAAGATAGCGGCTTGTTGGCGGGTAAGAAACCGGGTCTACGCCGCGTGGACTGATCATGTAAAGTTAACACGCCGAAGACAGATTTGATACATGTCACACTCGCAAAATTGTGGTTGGCGTCACCACTGTGGCTACCGCCAAACCAACACTAAAGGAAACAATGTAGTAGTTAGTATCTCAACAACTAGTAACTAGCCTATTAGCTACCAACTCGCAGCTAGTAGGTAGTAGCCGGTAGCCAGTCGCATGCAACTTAGCGACTTGCTTGTGAGTAGTTGGTCGTCAGTGTTGGGAAGTTAGTAGTTATGGCCGCTAGGAGCTGGAAGCTGACAGTGAATAGGTAGTCGCAGTAGTTGCCGTCGTCGTCGTGGTGGCCAGGGGAATACCAATACTAACGTCAAATCATAGTACTGATTAAGATTTCACCAAGGGCCAAGGAACTGTCGCCTTGGAGCGGACCACAAAGCCGTCCGGAGCTTTGACCAGAGAAGTCGTTCGGACGTGTTTCTCCTGGGCACAAAGAGAGTTTGGGCTTTTGGAGGGCTCCGAGTAAAAAGGGTTGAGGGCTTGGGAGCTTGGGCGCTAGTTTCGGTTTTCGGGCAGGGCGATGTACGACGCGCACAAGTTCGAGCTCCAAAGCTTTGACTTCAAGGTTTGTAGGAGATGGAGAGTTTGGATCCAAGGTTGAGGGCTTAAAGATGTCCGCTCACTGTCGGTACTTTGCATAGCTCCACGAGCCAGTGAGAACAAGCCACTGCCCAAAACCCTGAACACGGCCCTAAAACCTAAGCCCAAAACTAGGCCCTAAACCCAAAACCCTAGACCAAGCAAAAAAACAAACCCCAAAGCCCCAACTGCAGCCTTGGGGCCTCACAACCGACCACTTTTCAAAGGACTTGTTGGGTTTTTTCAACTACGCTCGGGCGTGTTGAGAAACAAGAGGACTCATTCAAGTTCCTGTGGTATATAGCTCAACCCAAAGCCCTGTGAGTCCAGGGTTCCGGGAGCGGTTGGAATTCGGCTTCTAGGCTTGGGACCTGTTTTGGAGATGGGATTTGGAATTTCGGATCGAATCGCAAGCAGTGCAAGGGTCTACCGTTAAGCACCTAACCTGTAGGGTTTGAGGGTGAGCGTTCTGTCGAATCAAAAGGACTTGCTATGGAACTTATACTCTGCAACCCTGCACCCTCAAATCTACATGGAGCCCTCAACCCGGAGCCACTCCGAGTCTCAATAAGCTGGCATAGTAGTAGTCGTGGCCAGAGGAGGAATAAGGGAGGTCAGTGTTGGCGAGGCATTCTGGGACGGTGATCATGTCGGCGACGTGCTGGGCGAAGCCCTGCTTAGGGAGAAGAGCTTTGCGTTCAGGCTGTGGAGTTTAGGCATCTTGAGCTTGGGGGTGTTTTGGGGGGCAGGGTTTAGGGGTTGAAGGGTTTGGGATCTGGTGCCAAAGCTCAACGCCTAAGAGCCCTCAGCGAAGCCACAAGGAGGACTTCCAAGGTTGTCAGTATGCGCTAAGGTTTTAGGGTGGCCAAGTAGGACGCATTGGATTTGTCGGAAAGGGAATTCAAGGAGTGTTGTATTTTGCAGGGCAGGGTCGAGCAGATACGCATCCATTACACAGCCAGCCTCAATCAGCAGACTATGGCTTTGGATGAAGCTTACCGTTCTGGCCAGCATGGATATGAATTCTCACGGAGGCTCCCATATTGCCCTTAGTCTTCGAGCATCAGATTGAGATGCAACCCCCGAGCAAAAACACTTTAACCCTAAACTTCCGCAAACCTAATCCCCGAAACAAGAACCCTCCTAAGCCTGGGGGCCTGTCGCGTCGCCTTAAGTGCTAGTCTCAAGCTCGACACTACACTTGTTTGAGTGGGTTTGGGGTTCACAAGGTCTTGAGTTTTGCGGGCTTCAGCTATTCACGTCGTAAGCGTTAGTTAGTCTGCTGTATTTTTGGGGTCTGGCCCCGCCTCACGGCGAGCTTGCTGCTTGACGGCCCAGATGATCTCACAGTCATCATTATAGCTGGAGAGGCTGTCACACCATGCATGCACAGCCAGTACCACGGGAACTTTGGCCATGCGGGTACCATAGCGCTCCACGAAATCACGGAAAATCTGCCCGCTTTGGGGCTGTGGGGCACGGAAACGCTCGTGTTGAGGGTCCTCCGTACCGAGGCCGTAGCCCGCCAGGGACACGACTGCATCAAAGACCTGCGCAGACGGGCAAATTAATGGCCGACCAAGGGCTTCTTCAAGGAATCTATCGAGGCTCTGCGAGTTTAGGATTACGGGTTTAAGGCAAATAACTACATTGAGAGTTCCGGGTTTTTCGGGACACTCGCTTGCAAAGACGTGAACCTCTTAAAGCGCAAACAACAGGCCGTAGAATCAACCTGAAGCAGCATTTCAGCCTGAAGAATCACTCGACAGAGTTTGAAGCCGAATCCCATAAATACTTAGTAGCTTGCTTGACTGCCCAGAAGCTTACAACGTGTGCTCTTGATGCAGGAAAACACAAGCAACGACCCCAAATGCCTGAAACATCCTAAACCACCGTACATTGCACATCCACAATGGGTCTTGGAACCAAGTCGGAGCCAAGTCGGCATAGGCCATGACCAAAATACAAAGATGCACTAGCGCGAACTTCCGTCCGCCAGAGACCGCTACCTGAATGTATACCAAGCCCAAGATCCGCTCCGTGCGCCTCCGGGGACCAGCTGGCGACCTGGCCCCGGCAGAGTTGGGAAGCTGGGATTCTGGGGGTTCATTATGGGAGTTGGTTCACCGAAGTTTACTACTTGGAGGCCTGAGTCGAGCCCGAAGTTGGGGAGTTGTCTCATGTATTCGTCCTTGTTGTCGATTTCGGGATTCAACTAGAGTACAGCAATAGATGACGTCCACATGAATCAAACTGGAAGCGGGCAGGCGCCTGGTATGCCCCGAATCCACCCATGGAGTAGCCAAAGGCAAGCACCCGGTCCGCCTGCCGAAGGGCTTATGTATGGACTGGGACTCACGGCTTGAATCCCCCCCCACCCCCCGAAGCAGAGAGATCCTGATTGCAATCGAATGGCTTGGCAATGCTGACACGCAGTCTTTTCCTTGTCTTGGCAGTTGATGTACACTTGGCAAATGATGTGTTATAGTTGTCGGTGTGCAATTGGCTTCGGGGTTTGAGGGCATGACCTCTTGGTCATCCTCGTTGACTCCTTAAGGTCTGCACAAATCATTAGACCATAGCATATGAATGCCTGCAGCCATGCTTCGCTCCAGTGTGACTTGGGCAGGAAACCCTTAAAGCCTAACACTTACACCGTAGAGCGTGAAACAAACGGACGTACCCAAGACCCACATGCACAGACCCAAACGACGACGACCTGTGTGCAGCTGACGCTCGCCTGCGGCGGGAAAGAACGGATAACGTCTTGTTCTTCTGTACTAGTTCTGAACTCTTGTATCTTCAGCGTGGCAGGGCACGTCCTTTACACGATGAGTTTCACCACAGTCTGCGTTCTATCGTTCTGCGAAGCGCGAGTGTGTGTGGCTCATGCTCGAGCATGCCTTAAGTGCAGCTCGAGTAAGCAGGATGTCACTGAACGTGTGCTTACCGGATCATGTGTCCATCTTCCTCTGGCATTGCCAACGGGTAAGTGCACCGACTTCGCCATGCACTTGCACCGAATGTAAGTAGTCTTGGAAGCCTCGCGGGGGGGGGTCTTGGAATGCTTTTGGGTACGTGCGGCTTGGACTGCTTCGTGCCATTTCACTGCTTGGGGTCTACCCGATATAACTTTGCTATCACTCACAAGTGTTATCTCCCTTGCGCCATGCTGAACCGCAGTTGTATGTTCTTGCCGTACCCAGTGTGCCCAAGCTTACACGGATGGGCCTGGAAGCGATGTGCAACGGTGCCGATGGTCTCGGCGAAGGCCGTGAGGAAGCTGGAGTGGAGGTGACCCCAGATCTCGGCAACAAGAGACATGTGGTCTAGGAGTTCAGGGTTTAAGAACCAGAGCTTCGAGTTGAGGAGCCCATGGACACTAAGCGCTCTTAGCTCTAGCTCTACGTTAATGTAAGGTTTTACTTTTAGTGTGTGAAGCTCTGGCTTCGGGATGAAACTATGTGTGACGGTTACATATCGGAGAGCCAACAGTTATCCATGTAACTTTTTGGTCAAGGGCATGGCATTGCTGCCACCAAGCCGCGAAGCCCTGGTCATTCCGATTGTCCTCCTCGGGCAGCAGGTGGCACATGGGGGATGCTGTTGTGTTTTTGGAAGAGTGAGGGAGGGGGTCCTGAGTCAGCAGTAGAAGAATGATGTAGCCCGAGAACAGAGAGGGACCGATATGATTCGTGCCCATGTTGGTCGATATGCAGCGTGGAGCTTTGAGCAATCAAACGATTTAGAGTGTACTTTTTCTTGTCACATCGTAATCTCAGGATGCTGCAATCCAGGGACAAGCGCCTGTGAATTGCTTACCCGCAGGATCCCTGAACACCAAATCCGAGCAGGGCACATGTTCGAAATGTGGAGCCAGAAGTGCGTGGACATCCACTACGGCAACAGCTTGCAGTTTGGAGTCCCAGGCTTAAGGTGCTGACTACTTCATCGTGGGCGGTAGTGTCTCTGTAGCTCCGCAAAGGTTGCTGCTCCTACACTCTAATACCGCAAAGACTCTGTTACAAATTCTCGTTCACCAAGACTTCTAAGGCGCCCTGCACTGGACCCGCAATACTACCTCTACTGATGCCCGGGCCTTCTTGTGGCAGCAGCCCCATTGAAACTCCCATCCCTTTGGCGAGCGCGCACTTTTCGGACTCTTCGGGACCATCCAGATTGTCCTCCAGGTTGATGGGTCTTAAACCATGCTTCCAGGCTTGGACTTTCGATTTCGACAGGTAACACGTACCTTGTTCGGGGCGTGATTTCACGTCTGCTGACAGAAAACGCCAAGACACCTGCCGCATCTGAAGCAACCCATCCAGGCTTGACAAGAACATGTCAAGCTTTCGCAGTTTAGGGTTTAGCGGTCAGGCATTGCGGTTCACTGAGGCACTCTACAGGCTCTGGAACAGTACTCGAAGGATGCTACAGGCTCAGGGAAGATCCGAGACGCCACTAACACGGCGAAATCCTGATCTCACCCATAAAACCAGGATTTTGGATGTTGGGTGCGGAATTGAAAAAATCATCGTAATGGTAGAAGAACGGTGTCGTTCATGACATCCACTTAAACAAAAACCTGCGATACAAATCACTCGTTGGAGGCCGCAGGATTCAAGATTCCTGTGCGGATGTAGGGCTGCATCCCAACAGCCCCTGAAGCAATTGAAGCTAAGGAAGGGACATGATCTTGATCGCCTTGACTCTTATCCGGCTGCATTGCTATGTGTCCTGCTGTGCCTTGGGGATCCAAAACAGTTGTGCCAAAATCAGGCTAATACAGCAAAAACTTGAATCCAAAGATACTGCTCTCCTTCTGCCCATTCGCCACTGCATGGTCTGCAGATCTCGCTTGGAGATATTCCCCCAATCGCCACCATGGAGCCATACCTGTTTCTCGCGGGTGTCTCAAAGTCTAGGGCATCCTTCATCTCCTAAAAGCATGATACGACCACGCACGTTCGCCGACAAGCCTGTTTGAGCATGGTTGGTCATCAATACTTTGCTCTTGTGGAACAGGAAAGATAGAGTATTGCTGTGAAAAGGAATCTTCGCTCAGAGTCCTGACTATTGTGCTTCAGGATAAGTTAGCAACTAGGCATCAGACTGCCGATGTTTCTGAGAGAATTTGGAAAACGAGAGCGCTCGCTCAACGGGTCCCCATCGCGTGCTACTCTGCTACTCAGTGTTCGGACAGTCGAGTGGTGTCGAAGAGAGGAAAAGAGAATCCAGAACGCGCAAGAAAGCCACCCAAAGGAGTCGGCATGTTTGGGCTGTCACCAGGAAAGAGAATGCAAACTCCACTCCGGAACCTTCCCAGAATAGTTAGTTTGTGTCGGGGTCGAATCTTTAAAGCTAGAGGAAGAAAAGTCGAAGACTGACAACTTCAAGCCTGAACACCAAGGAGGTTTCGGGTTGAGAAGCTATCACTGCCTGATGCCCCACACGCTAAGAAGGGTGTCCGGAAAAGGTGGGGGGGAGGGGGGTTGTGCACTGGGAAGTCGGAGCCATGGACGTGCATGTGACTCCAACTATCTGCTGGTGGCTTTTGCCGACTTGAACTCCTTTTTCCTATTGACCCGATGTAGAAAAGCTTCACTAGCAACTCTGTTTTCAGGGTGGCTTGAAGTAAAAGGCCTGTACATGCCTTGCACACCATCATACCAACTTCTCAGCCCAGGGGCGGCCAAGTAAGGGGCTTCGTTTTCGAAGCCTTCTGTTACGGACTCGTAGAGCTTGTACCAGCATTCGCCAAACGCGAAGCCTGTGCACGGGTGACCCACGAACCCGAAACCACAAACCAACGACTGCAGCTACTGCTACTGCTGCTACTGCTACTGCTACTGCTACTGCTACTGCTACTGCTACTGCTACTGCTACTACTACTACTACTACTACTACTACTACTACTACTACTACTACTACTACTACTACTACTTCTCCTGCTACTACTACTACTACTACTACTACTACTACTACTACTACTCCTCCTCCTGCTGCTGCTGGTACTGGTACTGGTACCGGTACCGGTACCGGTACCGGTACCGGTACCCGTAGCAGTAGCAGTAGCAGTAGCAGTAGTAGTAGTAGTAGTAGTAGTAGTAGTAGTAGTAGTAGTAGTAGTAGTAGTAGTAGTAGTCGCGGTAGTAGTAGTAGTAGTAGTAGTAGTAGTAGTAGTAGTAGTAGTACTACTACTAGTAGTAGTAGTAGTAGTAGTAGTAGTAGTAGTAGTAGTACTTAGTAGTGGTGGTGGTAGTAGTAGTAGTAGTAGTGCAGCAGGCGTGGAAGTGGACGTCGTGGTACTTCAGCCAAAGTACGTGTGAAGCTTTCCATGACGAGGATAATGCAACATGAACGAGCTTATTGTAGTAGGGACGGCAGGCTTTTTCAAAAGCATGCAGACAAGCAACAGTCGCGTGAGGTCTCAAACATGAAGCTTCACCGCCGGCCCATGTACTACTCTGCTACAGTGCGCTGCATCTGCACTCTTCCCTGGTATCCAAGACATGCTGATTGGATATTCCGGCACCGAACCTCAAAGCCACCTTGAGGCTGGAGGATGACCATTGGAATTGACCCTTAACAAGGAACCTTCAAGACTCAAACATCCCCTGGCCTTCGAAAAATTCCTCGCCCAATTCGGAGATCATGGCCGGCCAGATGCTAGTGCCATAGGCGTGGTGTAGGGTTTAATGGGTTTAAGGTTTTGTACGGTATACCCTCAACCTTAGGGTTCAGGTCATAGTAGTTTAGTGCTTCAGGCTCCGCGGTTGAGAGTTTGTAGGGCTTGTGGGGCTTAGGGGGTTCATGGCAATACGCCCTGTTGTTGAAACAGCCTCTTCCCTCTGAACTACTTTAGGGAACAGTGATCATAGGACTCCCTGATACGGGATCCAGTTTCTGATGGCTGGGTCCGTCACAGAGCCAGAGCTGCCACGCCAAATCTCAGCCACGATAACCTGACCTCCGTTAACCCGGCATGGGCCATGGACCCCAAGCACCGCCCCCCCCCCCTGCGTTAAAGGCGAGGAATCTATCATGAGCTGCTTCTCAGGTTGCATGTCATGTTATACAAGTGCAACAATCAAGCAAGGTACATCAGCAAATATCTCAACCGACGCTCTTCGTTGAGGGATCGCTTAAACCCCAAAGCCACAGTGGTGACCTCCGACAACTTCGCTTTCCTCAAACCATCAGGCCCTCCCTTCAACTTACATGGAAGCCCGGATGGGCTCCCTTCTACAGAAATAGTAGCCTGCAATGATCCTGAGCAGTTTTGTCGCAACCTCAGGGACCCCTAAACTCGAGCGCAAACCTTTCGAAACCGATCGTTGCAATCAAAACAGCAAAGCCGAAACCCTGCCGGCGCGTGGCTGTTCAGCTTCAGAGCCACGGATCAGGTTCTCCACCACCAGGAGCCCTGTTCAGGGTTACGGGCTGGCAGGGCGTTGTGCTTAGGGTCTGCAGCGTGTCTTCATTTCCTACCTAGAACTCGCAACTAAGCCGGATCGTGGTCCGCTTTAGCCTTTCAGCTAATGTGTAGCAAGGCGTGTACAGGATGGTTCATCTGGGGGGCAGGGAGGGTTGTAGGTCGTAGGGCTTTGTGCTCTAACCTTTCGGATGTGTGGAACTGCTCGAAACGGTGCGGAAAGCGCATTTCAATTCCTGCGGGTAAAAAAGTTGTATGGCTTTGTGGTCTCCGGGTTTGGTCCCAAGGGCTTCGGGCTTAGGGTTTAACCAAACCTCCCAGTTAAAACTCAGCGCACAACATGTTCCGTTGGGTTTCGGCGGCCTATGAAGAAATGTGCCAGGTCCTGCGCTGCATGCAGTGACCACATAACATGGGAACATGTAAATTTGATGGCAACTTTTTCGACCAGTTTTTACGCCAATGCCGAACGTATGTACTGAAGAGCTGTAGGTCAGGCATTGGGTCGTGCCCTCATGTTCTACATCCTGACTGGCATAAACAGCGAAACTCCGTACTCAGTCACGACAGTCAGCAAGAGGAAGACTTTGGCTTCAAAGAAGACGAGCTTTAGTGCCCTAACGCAACACCTTGAAAGCCAGAGCCATGCATCACTAAAGCCGACTCTTTCACTATCAACCACTTCCTATCCATTGAAGTTTTGCGGGCATTTGACATGGTGGAAAACTGTTGGAAGTTCTTGCGGTAATGATCCTACTGAGTGTTTGCACAGCCCTGATCCCAAACCTGTAATTTGCGTGGCCAGCGGGTTGGAGAAAATTCGATACACCAACTGTTCTCACAGTTGCAACCCCCCTGAAAACCTCGGAAGTATGAAGTGCATTCCGAGTTCACCTGTCTCTAGGCTTACTAGCAAATGACACGGCCTCTCAAATCGAACCGGAAGTAGACATACAATAAGACCTGCAAGGATCAAACTTTTTAGTCTGTCTGAGCTGACGCTCGCGCCCCAACCCTAAGCCATGTGTATGTAGGGCAGATGGCCAATCCCGTTCTCCAGATGTGACTCAGACTCGAACCGCGACCTGAAACTGACTGCCCGAAGATTTTATCAGAAGCCATAAGCCTTGAAACCTCAAGCCTTGACTCTGAACCCTTACGACCGATGATCTGAAATGCTCAACATCTCGAATCTAGGTCCTTATGTTCTGAAGTAGCTGCAGGGACCTCGACTATCGAGGTCTAAAGATCAATCTTAAAGTGCTTGATCGGTCTGTTTGTCGATTGTTGGCTTTTGCCATGCATTTTTAGTTCAGGGTCATGGTTCGGTCCACTTGCCGAATGCTTCAAACAACAACAAGGCCTGAGGGAGTTGGGCCTAAGAGCTAAAAGCTCTGAACTCGGCAATCTCCTAGGCTTGGACGGGTGCTTGCTCCGTGCCAAATGTTACTGTCAGACTGCCATAAAACTGGAGTTTGCTGTAAGAGGACACCTCCAAGAAAGGTCGAGATCGTAAACATCCAGCTGGTAGTGAGAGTTTTGCGGGCCAATGGCTTTACGCATTTGGGTTTGGGGCGTTGTGGATGGGTTTAGGGCTGAGGATGCCTTTCTGGCGGTCGTCCATCGCTGCATCCTCGCTCCTTGGAAGGCCGAGCTGAATGTTGGAGTTCGGGTGAGTTCGGTGATCTTTTCGGGGTGTTCTCGTAATGAGTCAAGGGGCCAAGGGGCCCTATTACGCAGGCCCACGATTCTCTGAGACTCTCAGGTTCCGCCCATGCTTAAAAGCTGGAGGCTACATCCTGCAAGGCCGAAGGATCTAGGAGGTTACCTGGCTTCAGGATGTTCTGCCTTCGGGTGAGTGCTAAACCTTGACGACTTGCCCTTGTGGCTCTGGGACGAGGCTAGAGGTCTTTGAGCCTCCAGGTCGACTTTGCCTTCGCCTCGGATCCTGGGCTGGGTGCTTGAGAGTTGCCGAAAGTCAGGGACCCCAACATGGACCGACCGTCATCAGATCCGTACTCTACAGCCCCGCAAGCGAAAGCATAGATCGCGAGACTCACCGGCAAACTGAAGTTTGGAGAGTTTGGAGCTGCAGGACTGGCCTGCCGCAAGAACAGGAGAAGGCAGGCCCAGAACCCACTGCCAAAACTCTGAAAGCTTTGCGAAATCCTGCGAAAGCACTGAACCGAAAAAACGCATGTGCAGGCCTTCGGTCACTAGACACGATCGTCTAACTGCGACGAGGCACAGTTTCAAGACATCTGCCTCCTGCTCGGGAGTGAAGCCTCGAAGCGAGTTTGGCTCGAGAGAGTTGAAGGTGAGTAGAGTCTTAGGGTTTGCAGGTCTACCGAGAGTTTGAGGTTTTCGGTGTAAGTGCGAGGGTTTAGAAAGGTTCATGCATTGGGCTGGGGGCTTTCGTTTGAGGCTTGGATTACAGACCGCAGCCATTCGGGGCACAGAATTTAAGCCGTAGGATACACGGTTAGTCTCTGAAGACACAACTCCATGCTAAGCAAGGCTCTAAGCAACAGCGGAAACATGCAAAGAGTCACGACGAAAGCAGACCTTCAAACACAACACTTCGGGCATAATAAGAACATGCACGCCCGGACAGGAAAGAGTAACCGGCACTTGTGGCAGCTTCAGAACGCCACACAACAGAGCACAAGCTGTGTGGAAATACCGTAAGACTATCAGGGATGCCTATTGAACGATAAACAGTTGCCTGATGACGCAGATAAGAGCAAAACAGCACATACAGTAAGGCTTCAAAAGCAGCATTTCGATACAGGCCTAACCGGCGCAGCATGTCGAAAGGCTGGAAGAGCCACCGTGCCAGCAGCGTGCCTAGTGCAAGGGACGGCTGCCATACTTTCGCCGGAACAGTCTACAATGGGAGTTGGCACCTATTGATTGCACGACTTTTATTGACATTACAAGAACTGTGGCTTGCTGATATACACTCATCCGTCAGGAGCAACGGTGTCCAGAGGCCATCCTCATGGGAATGGTTAGTAGCCGTAGTCGTCCTCAGTAAGAATAGCTGGAGCAAGACAGGCAGCAGTGGTAGCATCGGTGCTGCAGTAGTCGCAGCCAGCATCGTGGTCGTCGTCGTAGCGACAGGTGGAAGCTGGTAGGTGGCCACCACCAGCAGCAGCGGCAGGAGGAGGAGGAGGAGGAGAAGAAGAAGTAGTAGTAGTCGTCGTCGTCGTGGTAGCAGTAGTAGTAGTAGCAACAGCAGCAGCAGTAGTACCAGTACCTGTACCCGTAGCCGTACCCGTACACGCACCCGTACTAGTACTACTAGTCCTGGTACTGGTACCGGTACTGGCACTGGTGGTGGTGGTACTGGTACTAGTACTACTACTGGGATATGTATACATCCACTTTTTACTTTCGGGTGGCGATGCGACAACATTGTCGAAAGCCCAGCAACGAAAACTCTGATCCCTGGCCCCGTTGGTCTCGTCGCCTCGTGGAGGCAGAGGGATCTGGTTGGGGTTCCCCCTGAGCCATTCGAGGACCTGGGAGGCCAGTATCGCTCCGTGGTACTGCTCGCAGTGGCATGATCGTTTCGAGTGGGTTCGGTTCTGATGGCAGTAGTGACGGTGAGGTCAACGAGCTGATGATGCTGGTGATACAGCAGAAGAAGAAGATGATGATGATGATGGAGATGATGACGACGACGAGCAAGAAGAGCGACCCGCAGGACACAGCCTTGCCTTCAAGCGGTGACGTGCAGAATGAAGGTATTACGACAGCTTTGAAGACGATGGATGGATGGATGGATGGATGGATGGATGGACGGAGGGATGGAGGGATGGAGGGATGGAGGGATGGAGGGATGGAGGGATGGAGGGATGGAGGGATGGATGGATGGATGGATGGAGGGAGGGAGGGAGGGAGGGAGGGAGGGAGGGACGGACGGACGGATGGATGGATGGATGGATGGAGAGGAGGAGGACGACGACGATGATGGTGAAGGTGATTGTGGTGATATTTGCAATCACAACAGTGTTGTTGGTACAAGCGACGGCATTGATGACCGTGATCGTAAAGCGGCAACGGTGATAGAAATGATGATGTTCACGAAGCCTTTCTGAGGTGACTAAGTGAAAGACGGGAACGGATCTTCTGCCCGGCCTTCTTCAAACGATTATTGCCCTGCCTTCCATGGAGCCTAGAGTTTCGAGATTGACAAGTGACAGTTCCTATGAGTTGAGATGCCAGCTGCTTGTTCCACAGTGGTTGCAATGGTCTTTGGTCCTCGAACGTGACTCTAAGGCACCAGCCCGGCACCCCGAATCCTGAAACAAAAACCCTCGAACCAGAATTAAACCTCGCACCCAAAACCCGAAACATTTCCCAATTATATACACCCTATCCATCTACAAATGTTACGAAACTCGCTTCAGCAAGTCAGAAACTCTCAACACGAATCCGGCAAGTCAAACACGCGAGCGCGTTGAGCGATGGTAACATTGCTGTGGTACGAATGCTAAGCCGACGCTAAGTCAAACATCTGATATTGTCTGGGTCAAGTCAGGCGTGTACTGGGTCGTGTTATAGCGCTGGACTATTACATTGCCACTGTTTGCCAGCTCTAGTGACTCTAGTGTTGGTACGCGTACCGACTCCGAATCGGGAGGCATAATCCCCTCTCCGGCTAACAGGCACCCCACGCACGGAAAAGATGACGTCGACGAGCTTGACTTCATTGGAGCTTGAGGGTTGAGTTTTGCAAGCCCTACGCCCTGAACCCTAAACCTTAAGGGTGTTGAGGCTCTTGTCAGGCTTCAACCTCTGCCGAGAGGCGTAGACCGCCCGGTCTAGCGGCAAGAAGAAAGCGCTGGCGGCCTTAAAGGCGAGCACCCTGAAACCCAAACGCCACACCTCCTCAAATCCTCAAGCCCTGAATAAGACTCCATCGCTGGTGGCTTGATACTCCGGGCCTCTAGAACCTTGTGATATGGACTTTCTTGATTTTGTCAGGATTTGGGTTCAGTTAGTGGTTTGGATTCTGGTGCTGCCGAGGGTTGTTGATGAAAAGAAGCTCTGGAGTGCATATAGGGCCAAACACAACACTCCATTTTCGAAGCGCTGACTAGACTCACTAGACAACCCTGCACGTTGACTTGGTCGGTAGGAGCTAGTAAGAACTAGCACCCAGGGTTTGCGGTGCTTCGGTTCCTAGAGCTGCTTGCCACTTTGGGGTATACGGCCATAGGGCGGGTTTGGGAGTTTGGGTTGTGGCGACGACTTAGGGTGCGAGGGCGTGGCACTTCGTGCGGGCAACCTTTTGAAACGTGGAGGGCCGATTCAGCTAATGACTAAAATTTAGGTGGCTTCGGGCGTTCCATCGATCCCAGACCCTCAAGACACTTGAAGCAGGGCCTGGCACCCTAAGAGGCCAATCCTGCAAGTACGACTCTTCATAGGCTTCCCGGCTACATCAAAGTACACTTCACGCTTAGGGTGAACACCTGCAAAAAAGCGGGTTCCCCTAAACCAGGTAAACGCTGCATAAATATTTTACACACACATACACATATATATATATATGTACATATTATATAAGTATAAGCAGACACTCTCATAAACGGTCTGTAGCCCAGAACCCTGCACCCTGTGCAACCTTGCAGGCATGTAGTAGCACCTATAAGCCCTATACAACCACCTCTCCATATACCCATACCAGTCATCATAGCCTCAGGAATAATGCCCAAAGAACAACCCCAAATCTTAGACCCAAAACAGCTCACCACCCGGCCTCATGAGCTCCCCCGGCATTCAGAGCAATGCAATTCCTGCAGCGTTCAAGGGGGAGATCAGATTCAAGGGTCTAGGGCGTAAAGCTACGGCTTGATTTAGAGATGCGTCCAATTTGAGACATTAGAGGGCTTAAGAGGGCTTAAGGCAGACTTGTAACTGTAACCCTAAACCATGAACCTGAAGTAGCTTCGATTTGGATCGGACTGGGTATTTCTGGGCTTTCATGGGGAAGGGCCATGTGGGTTGCGTAGGCATTCAGTAGAGAGTGCATCGGGTGAGGGTCTATTATAAGGTGTCACGAAGTACCACAAATCTTTTGACCTGCGGTGTTTAGTTGTCCAGGACTCAGGGCTGTCTGAGGTTGAGGGGTTTTCCGTGTTCTGTTTAAGCCTCGCCATTTAAACAATGTCTCACATGTAAACTCTTGCCTCACACCGATCGTTGGATACTCTCTTCAAACAGCCCGCCTAAAGCGTCCGTGAAACCGGAAGCTCCACACCCTCAACAGTATGCAACACCTGCAAAAGCCATGTCTATCGGCCCCTTGGAAACGCGTAACAACCAAGCATAATATTTTCCTTTTAGAGCCGTATAGACACGCAAAGAGACAGTCTTAAAAAACCGCTGAACAAGAATAAGCTTTTCCTCATAGGGTTGATAAGAGGCCCCTGTGCAGAGAGGCCCCGTGGGTCCGTGGGTTGCACTATTGTTGCTCTTTCTCACTGGGATAGAGGCATAATGTGGGAAATGCCCCCTCTGCATCTAACCCTGTCACTTCCATCCCACCGCCCCCCAACCCTCAACAACCCCCTACTCTAAACCTTGTAAGGAGCGCACCCTGAGCGCGCGATGACAGGGGAGCCGCTTGAGCCGCCGGAGGTGTTCGATCCGGCTCCTTTCGCCCGTTGCGGGAGGGGTGAGCTGGGGCGAGAAATTGAGAACAAGCATCTGGTGTGGGGTTTGGTTAGCGAAAAAAGGGCTTGGGCAGCTAAGATTTAATGAGCACGGGGACTTAAGATGCATTAGGTGTCGTAGCCACGCCAGTTCGCATGCACAGCACGAAATGGCGAAACGCATTGCAAAAAGGTCAAGCCCCACTCCATACCGCGCATAATTAACAACAGCATCAACCAAAGAATTCAAACGGAGTCACCCGAACATGCACCTTTCAACACCCCTGCAAGGCGCCAAGTTGCAATAGTCTATGTTACGTGCTTTTCGTTCCCTCATGGTGACCAGCACCCTCAGCACCGAGTAATCAAAACATCCTGCAACCCTCAATCACCTAAGCCCCAGTACCTGAAACGATATGGAAGATCCCCAAACCCACAGGCATTCACCGGAAGAAACATGACCCTAAACCTGAGCCAATAAATACCTGAACTGAAAGGACATCCACGAGCCAGTGGCCTGAAGAAGTTCAGCCCCAAACAAGTACACCCCACACTAGCCCTGAACCCTAACTCCAAAACACACAGAGACTTCAGCAACTAAGACCATTCTGGAGTGAAGGAATACGGTATAGGGCAAAGTTCCTAAAGTAAGCCTGAACCCCACACTCCACACACCCGCGTAATGGCCTGCGTAGAAAGTATTCTCGTCCTCGTAGTTGTCGTGATACTCGGGGCAGTTGCCTGGTTTAGGGCTTGGGATCGGCAACCGCCAAACCTTGAAGTATAGCCGACTTAGGTGCACTGGTAGAGGAACCATGGCTTGTTCAGGATTCAGGCTCTAAGTTGTTGACACAATCTCCAAAGGTATTCCTTGAAGACTGGACAGAAGCTGGTGACAGTTAAATACCAAAGCCGATACGCAAATCTGCGGCAGAATAATTCGACGTACGAAGCACCCCACGAAAACTAGAGCAGATACGACAAAGCAAGGAGGAAGCATTGGCGAGGCGTCGTCCTCATTTATCTGTGCATGGAAGCTTTGGCTAAACAGTCCAACCTGAAGACTTGTACATTACCCGTCTAGCGCTACTCAATCTCCAAAGGTCGCTTCATATTGTGCTCTTGTCGCTTCTCCCACGTGAAAACACAGGAACCCTTGGAAGTACATGCCAAGACTAAACAGTGAGGAGCAGGAGCAGCAGCAGCAGCAGCAGCAGCAGCCGCCGGAGCCGCAGCCGTAGCCGCAGCCGCAGCAGTAGCAGTAGCAGTAGAAGTAGCAGTTGCAGTTGCAGTACCAGGAGCAATAGTAGCAGCAGCGGCACCAGCAGTAGCAGCAGCAGAAGCGGTAGCAGTAGTGGTAGCAGTAGCAGTAGCGGTAGAAGTAGCAGTAGCGGTAGAAGTAGCAGTAGCAGTAGCAGTAGAAGTAGCAGTGGCTCTAGCAGGGTAACAGTAGTAGCAGTTGTTATAGCTGTAGGATGCTATCCTGTGCTACCGTAACAGCAACGAGACCAAAACAAAACATAAGCTTGCGCACTACTAGAATCATAGCGATGAATAACATTGAACCTTGCACAGATTGTGATGCCAATGGCCTCTATGTGAAACTGGTCGCAAGATCGGTCACAAACAATCATCATGATCATAAAGGTCTTCACCATGTCATAAGCTTGACTCGAAGCTTGGCTCGCTTACATCAAGGACGTGAAAGGCTCTTCGCAAGACTGAGGGTATTATTCGCCGTCCTGACCACTTCGGATGCTAGCTTTAACCCGAATACAAAGCTTATGAGAAGAAAGTGTTCTGAACAAGAGCCCTGACACGGTCCACCCGCGCAATGGTGGCCGGGAGAATCTGAATTTTCTCTGCATTGTCATTGCCGATGACCTGGTTTACAGGTTTTCGGGACTGAGAGCCTGCAGGGTGCAAGAGTGCTGTGGAACCCGCTTGACGTGTCTCTGTGTGGTATGGGAAAATGATGCGAGAGCTCGAAAGTCAGGTTGTCGAGCCTTATCTGCCTTGCAACCGTATAACCATGACAGTAGCCGGAAGGAGAATATCATCAATAGGCAGTAGGAGTTTAACAATACCCAATAACTTATAACTGCAGCTGTATCAACAATAAGCACAAGGCTGATAATGGTAATTCGTACTACTACAGCAAGCCCGAGCCCACGAAGTCTAACTCGTATGCACCCTTAACCGTAAAGGAAAAACAGCCCAACCGCTCGGCTCGGGCTGGAGGAAAGCTGAGCCTTTCCGATTCGGGCCACCGCACCTCTCCAGAGAGTCTCTACTGCCTGAACCCTTGAAATCTGAAGCTCGAAAACTAGAGCAAAACTGCACTTCTGTGCGGTCGACGAGTCACTCAGTCGAAACCCAACGGAACGAGAAGCTTCCAAAGAAGGCTTTTGAATCCAGGAGCCGATAAACGATCCACGCATCCTGCAGCCCTCCTTGTCGAATCGCGGGATTGAGGGTTCCAAAGCCAGTTTCCCCTCCGTGAAGACCCACTAGCATCAGCCGTTGCAGCCTCCGGACACAGTGAGAACTTCGGTGCACAAGCAATCATCCTTCCTTACATAATCCTTGAGCCCTGAAGCCCAATGACGCAAGCCCAAACCTTGAATCTACTCGAAAAAGCCGAACCCCAGACCCGAATGAAGGCAAAGCGGCTAGAACTTCTGTGCCGACGCGCCTGGCAGATCTCGCTTGTTTTCGGCTCGAGGTTTAAGCAGACCGGGCAGAGGGCTTAGGATTCGTGAGTTTAACCTAAAACGTGCTGCTGGCATGGCGCGTTGTTGAATCTCAGTGCTTAGAATGGTCGCACAAGACTAGGGAAAAGTTGTCGAATTGCGCTTTTGTGTTGCGAGCATTCGTGAGCTACATGTTTTGAACTGGAGTACGTGAAGGTGCCTAGCCGATCTTCGAGACACGGGCATAGTTGATCAGTCATGCTGAGTAAAATGGTACGACATCGGTCTCGAAACCTTAAACTTCCTCGAAGCCCTCACCCCCGAACATGCAGGCATATTTGTGGGGGAGGGGTTCTAGTAGGACAAGGTCTCGAAGTTCTCAGGCCTTTTGGAACAGAAATGCTCATGCGGCATAACTGCGGGCTGTGATAAAAAAATCGAGACCGAGAACGCCGCAATACCGCTAGTGATAATTCCAACCCTGAGATACAAGTATTTCTACTGCTCCTTCTAAACGCCCCTGAAACGCTACTACGTATAATTCTCGACCTTGAGGTGGATTGCCAAAGCCACACATACCCCAGACCCTGAAACGCCTTCAGTCCTGAAGCCTGAATCTGTGAAGCCTGAATCCCAAAAGACCTTGAATTTCTTGAATCCTAAAACGCAGCCCCGGGACAGCTCGGGCGGTGATACGGAGATGGCCGTCGGAGGGGTGAACCGAAGCCTCGAACGAATGGCTTTTGGTTGAGAGGATTGGGGGGGTTTTCTTGGCGGTTATTCATGGCTTAAGCGGTGTCGGGTCTAGGGTTCAGGGCGTCATAGGCTGTAGGGTTTCGGGCTCAGTGTTTCTAGGTTTAGTGTCATAGGGTTTTGAGGTCTAGCTTGGAGTGAAGGCGTTTGGAGCTGTGGGATATTAGGGCTTCGGGTCTGAGCAGCATAAGCCAGCAGCAAGCCGGTTGCCCTGAGGATGGTAGTGGTCCTCTCAAAGAGTTTGTCATCACAATAAGGTTTTACAACGAGCAGTGGTCGTGTTGGGTTCCGGTGTTCATGGAAACGGACGAAGGCTTGAGGGGTTGGAGTCGCGTTGGAGGCTGTCGGATGAGGAGTGCCTTCAAGTGCGTTCTGGACGCTAGGAATCACAGTAGACCACCAAAGGCTGCCATAGCCCATCACACAAGGGTCTTACACCACAAATCAGCGTGCGCACGCATACACATGCACACACACATACACACATACACACATACACACATACACACATACACACATACACAGAGCACACAGCGGTTGCAAGCGCGAAAAGGAACAAATCCGCCTGAACAACTCCCTGGGGCGTTATCATAATATATATATATATATATATAATATATATATATATACAACCAAATTAAGCCTAAAGCCTAAGTCCTAAGCTGCGAACGGTTCCGTTAATCTGTCTGCAGTACAGCTGCTGCTAAACCGACATCCCAAGGTCCCAACCAGGACCTTACGGCACGACTCTAAACCCCCTCCTCAGACCGCTCCAGCCCTTGAACCCTAGTCCGCAGTGCATCCCGAAACGATGCACCCCCTAATTCCTTGAAAGCTCAACAAACAATAACAGCAGCACCAACAGCACCAGCAGGAGCAAGAACGACTTGAGAAGGTGATTTGTCGGCAAGGAGCTCTGTAGAGTCGAACTGAAAAAGCCCGAAGTCGTGCACGGGATCCCGGTAGACCTTGTTCGGGCGGTTGAGGGCTCAGGGCTTGAGGGTTTGGGCTGAAGCTTTGCGGTTTCGGATTCGGGGTTTTGGGTTTGAGGAATCTGGCGTTTCGGGTTGAGGGATTGGTGTCAGGGCTCAGGTTGGGGGTGCGAGGGTCTCGATGTCGGGATCAGGGCCAACAGGTTCAAGTTCCAGATGCTAACGGCATGAGTTGGGAGGCCTAGACCTCCAGTACCGGACCAGCGGCCGGCCAAATCGGCAGGTCGTCGTGCTCGTAGAAGGTCGCGCGTGCCCTGATAGGCCCTGTCCTGGGCACGATGCAGATTTCGATGTTAGGCGACGTCTCTCGTAGGGTCAATGTTGCTTCATTCGCGCAAGGCCGTGCTGCTATTCGTAATGCAAGTCCGCTTCTCATGGCCACCAGCATGACAGCTACGATTGCTAGCCGTAGCATGCCCTAGCACTGAACAACTCGTTTCGACGATAGTTCAGCGCTAGTTCCAGTGCATCAGGAGCTCAGGTAAAGAGCTTTGAAGCCTAAACCCCGAGACCCTCAGCCATGACACGGAGTACAGGCTTGGCTTGAGCGCACGAAGGACCTTCCCAAGTAATCAATTCTGGAGGACTGTGATGCTTGAAGGATTGAGGATCAATTGCTTGAATCTTAACACAAACCTCAATGTGGCTCGTGTGCACTCTAGCTATAATGTCGGCTTTCGGAACGATTGGAAACAGAGCGTGAGCATCCTGCCGGACCGTAAAGAGGCCATGGCCGTTGGCATCAGCACCACACAAACTCCTTCAATACATGCAGCCCCAAAACCTCCATCCTAACCTTGTACAGCTCCTAGACCCTAAACCGGGCCGGGTGTCGTGATGATGTGCCGGTTCGTGAGGATCAGGGCTTCCTCTGCAAACCCACGAACTAAGAGCTGAGGGCTTGCGGGGCTTCGTGTGTAAAGTTGCAGGGTTTTAGCCTTTGTAATTTAGGGTCTCTAGATTGCAGGGCCCTGTTTCATTTTGTGAACCTCGGTGGAGCACACAGCGATTCAGTTACCAGAACTTGGGGCTTCCGATGGCAAATACGAGGCAGCAACTTGCACGATTCTAAACTCTTAACCGTATGATTGCATGGCCAGCCAGAACAAAAAAGATCGACGCTGTCAACAACACACGTAGGCCGCGAATGACACCACAGCTGACACGCTGGCGCAAATCGTAATCCTCTCAACCTTCTAGTCTTCTAGTTGCATTGGCCTTAATTTGTCGCGGGACTCGGTAAGCATAGCCTCGAATACTAACTAGGTCCTGGGCCTGAAGTCTAATCACATACCTACGACAACACTGCAAGAGTCGATGACACTCCGCAATAAAACAAGTCGAACTAACCCCCTCACAGTCTGACCAAAAACAAAACACGTTGCAATGATGCAACGCAGAAACCCAAGCGAAGAAACGAAAGCCAAAACCCGAGCAGCATAAACCTGCCCGGAACTCCAAAACCTATGCTTAAGCCGTGGACCTTGCTGAAAGCATCAAATTCCCGGTGCACCAATTCCTGCCTTTGGGTTCTCCAGGCTGACGACGAAGCCTGTGCCGTCCCACACCCCGGCTGCGCAGTCCTCGTAGGAGCGAACCTGAGAATTCCTGTTCATGGTCTCGAGTTCTTGCTTGTCCCCAAGCCGACGAACGAGACCCTTATCCTTGAAACGATGTTCGTCTTGCGGGCTCTTTGAGATCTCGAGTCTTGAGCTCGTGGTTTGGGCTGGAACTTTTTAAGTTGACGCTCGTTGCAGCCGGAGCGTTATCTTTTAGCCATCTTGGGTGCATGGGATTTGCATGACCCTGCAACGAATCCCGTCATGCATTTATCGCAGTTAAGGCTGCCTCGGTTGAGTCTACACTGTCTGGGAGTCGTCATGTCCGAGGAGCAGCACATACTGACCCGGAAGGAGAGCGGAGAAACACCCGATCTGCAGACAACAGTCCGGGCTTTGTGTCTGCACCCGATGTCAACATATCCTTTACCAACTTGCCAGACACAATTCCAACACGGGTTCCTGGACTATGACTGCATGGAAACGTGCATGAGATCGATGTTTTCACCCACGTCACCACCATCATCCTCATAATCACAATCATCATCCTGATCATCACGACCATCATTATCACCAGCATCCACAGCAGCGTCATCATCACCATCATCATCATCATCCTCACATGACCACCATCATAATCTTCCTCGTCTTCATCGCCATCACCATCACCATCATCAGAACCACCAGTACCATCATCATTATCACCATCATCGCCATGACTGTGACGGTCGTCATCACAAAATCATGGTCATCATGATCCTCACCGTCAGCATCAGCAGCATCGTTATCAACAACTCCATCGCATCACAGGCGCTAGCAATAGCCTCATCACCTTTCTTGCCAAAGTATCCGACCTGTGCCCTATAGGAGCCTACAGTCCCATTGAGCTCCTAAACATCAAACCCTCAGCCGTGACTGCAGGAGCTCTAGCAGCAAGAAGCCCGCCAGCGGTTTATCTGCATAACTGTAGCACTTCACAGCATATCCAACTTAGCAATTCGAACCATTCGTACTAGATGATGCCCTGAACCACAGACAAGTTGCAGCAGTGACCCGGATGGCCACAATTGCGTTTTTGACCTGCCCCAGGCATGGCGACGTAGCGAGTATCACAAGAACGGGCAAACCCGAAGCGTCAAGGGCCTGAAACATGGGGTGCAGCTTTGTCGACACGTGGAACACCCCTCGAAACTCCTGACCGGCAAAACAAGAAACCCGACCCAACCCTTCAATTTAATGCACAACATTCCGGTAGAAAACATCGGGGGGTACGAACCCTGACGACCTGGCTCCGCAATAACCACAGCAAAATCAACAACAAAAGGACCCAGACCCTAGACTCCTGCATGAGCCGCTCAGGCGAGGTTCGCGGCTTTGAAAAAAAAAAGGTCAGTGGTCAAGACATGGGCTGGAAACCCTGCCGCTTGGGATGGGAACTACCTAGCAGTCACCTGTAAAACATCTGGGCATGCTGGCCAGGGGAAAACAACCAGTACAAAACAAGAAACCAAGGGGAATCCGAACGAACACGCATCTAGAGTCTTCCACTCTTCCGTGTTGGGCAAAGACCATTTTCAATGAATCAAACTCTCATTCATTGGAAACTTCGAGCTTAGGTCCGCTGAGGTTGTGGAGATTCTGGTCTGAATCATCGGGGTTTGCGGAACGATTCAATGCACATGCACTGGCAGCAGTTGCAAGGGCGTGGCAGTGCAAATCTTTGAGTCTTTGACAAAGCAGGTGCACAACGGCCTAAATTATCCCCCCACCATTCAAAGTAACGCCCTGGCCTGGTCAATCACGTCAGCCCACTCAGCCGAGATCGCCTAAACAACACAACGTGCGGGCTACAAACGAGATACGACAACAACCTATTACTACTACCACCACCACCACTACTACTTCTTCTTCTTCCTCTTCTAGCTGCCAGCTTGCATGTGCGACTCCTTCGGGCTGACAGTTTCGAATCGGCTGTCAGTTTAACACCCCTGGAAGTCGTGCAGGAACCGGGGCCAGGCCAAACTACAGCAGCGCCTGTGCTTGAGGTTGAGTTTGGGACTCACACTTTGGATTGTGGAAGTCAGGTTGCAGAACAGTGAGATTGTAAGTCGGGGATAGATCGGTAGACCGGTAGACCGATAGGTAGATAGATGGATGGATAGATCGACAGATAGAACAAGATGGTCGATAGACAGACAGATTTGTGTAGATAGATAATACAGGTAAGAAGGATAGATGGAGAGAAAGACAGACCGACAGACAGCCAGGCAGGCAGGCAGGAAGGCAGGCAGACAAACACACAGACCAGCCGGCCAGCCAGCCAGCCAGACAGGCTGACAGGCGACAGACAGAGAGAGAGACAGATAGACAGATATAGGTAAGGAGGTAGGTAGGTAAGTAGAGGTACGAGTAGGTAGATAGATAGATAGATAGACAGGTAGACAGGTATATAGACCGGTAGAATGGTAGATAAGCAGATAGGTAGATGGATAGATACGATTTCAACAAGCGGCCGCACCCTGAGACCTACCAGCCACGGTGAAACCCTCCCGAAAAACCTCAGAGATATGGGAGCTTCCGAAAATAGGGGACCCTAATATAGTACCCTACATAGTAGGACCCTTATTAAAGGACCCCAAAATAAGCTACCCCTATTTTCGGAAACTCCCATATCACAAACCGTGATTGTTATTAGGGCCCGCCGCCTCGCTGTGAAAGTTTGGTTGACAAACCTACGACAACTCTGGAATGCCACAAAGCAATGTAAATGTCAAGCCACCGCCGGGGCAGTGATGTCCATTTCGAAGCTCCTGAATTTGGGTTTCGGATGTGATGCTTGGGGTTCAAGGTTGGAGCCGCCCTGATCGCCAAACCAGCAACGCACATAAGATCACTGTGACCAGTGGAGGACAGTGTAGGAGTTGACACGTAGAACTCGGGTTGCGGAAGGGGTCCAGGGTCCAGGGGTCCAGAGGAGGGCTGTCTGCTCAAGGTTACGAGAATCCGAGTTTGCGACTTAACAATACTGGGGCCCCAAATATCTCAGAATAGGCACTCCGGGCAAGCTCTAGACCCTTTGCCGTGAACCCTCAACCACAGTTACAGCGGGCAGCTCTCAAGTATTGACTATGGGGAGCCTCGGGCAACAGCAACCCCCAAGACATCTTTCCCGAGTTGCCTGCACCGCAATTTCAGAAACCCAAGCACCCCCAGGCCGAAAGCATTTGCAAACTGTTTCCGGCTGGTGAGATTGCCGCAAACGACAATCATTGGAGCTGCACCAACGTGGGATAATCGACAAACTCATTCAGAATATTCAGATGCAGTACCACTGGAGCTCCAGGTGGTAGTGACAGCGGTAAAGTTCCAAACCCTGGGAGGGCCCTTTTGAACCCGCACTTTGCCCGTGGAGGACTAGGATTGTACAGAAGTGTGCAAGCAAACTAGCGGCAAGAAACCCGCCTCACTCAGAGGAGGCCACGAAAGACCCCGCAGACTCAAAAACAAAACAACGCAAGCCGGAGACAGACCAGAATTGCAAGCCTTCTCCTTGAAGCCTGGCCAACCATTAGACCCACCAGTTCACCACTGTCCTTTCAAAAGACTTTTCTCATTTCTGTCTACTTCAGGGAGGAACGCCAAAAAATCCAAAATTCGACATGTCAAGTTCCAAACTCTGAACCCTGCGGATTAGGCCCGAATCCCGAAACAACCAACTCTTGAGTCCCAAGTTCAAGAACCCCTGTATCCGAAGTCCTCTGGCTCAAGGCCGGAGTCATCACCCGCAAACCCCAATTGCAGCCCAAATTGCTCAGAGCCGGGTGATCCACTCCCCCGGCGCTCCATCCTGGTGTGCTTTAGGGCTTCCGTGCTGCAGTTAAGAGTCCAGGGTTGAGGGGTTTTTGGGTTTTTGGTATTGGGCGGGAGACGTGCAGGGGTGTGAAGATTAGGATTTTGGTGCAGGGTCTGGAGGGGTGGAGGGTTCAGGGTTAAGGATAAGATTTCAGGGTAGGGCTCTATGCCCCATGAAAGCACTGGCTTGGGCCGTAGAGTTTAGGATTTCAAGTTTGAGGCTTGGGGTTTTGTTGTCGGATTAGGGGTTGAAAGTCTGGATATGTAGTTACGATAGCTGAGAATATTGAAGTACAGAATGTTTAGTATCTGAAGGATGGGTGCTTCAGGGGTGCTATCAGGGTTTAGGGTCTCGGGCTGCCGGGCAGGCAAGGTGTGGAGTTGCCGGTTTTCTGGGATTGGGCGTTGGATTTAAGACTCGAGGTGTAGAAGATCGTACGGCGTGTAAGCGTATGCGAACCGACCTCTTGACGCCTATGCATCGCTGTGAGCCTCCACGCGCCCGAAACTCCAAAATTCCGGGAGAGCCTGCAAGGTGCTGTCTTTCTTGCCTAGACAGGCCTCTAAGCCTGAGAAGCTTGATGAGCTTCGGGATTTAGCCTTTGGATTCGGAGTCTGGTCTAGTACCCCAAAACCGCCGGCACCAAAACACCCTAAACCTTAACACCCGGAAACCCACAATGTTAAAACCATGCACTGCCCTAAATCCCAAAATCGTGATTTCGATCCACTGACTTCGATGCGCAGTCCTTGCCATGTCTGAGGCCTCGGAAAGCAAAAAGTGTTTGGAGGGTAGGGCTGAGAATCCTCGAATTCAACCGGGAATCCTTCGTGCGATCATTGAAGCAGAACGAACGCGGCTGGGGAGCTTCTGAGCTTCTACGTCCCCCGGGTCTTTACAGCCTCTTGGCCTCTTGGGCTTAGGGGCAGCGGCTACAGGCAGGTTCCGTGACCTGATGCCTGTCAATTCAGGGCCGATGCGCAAGATATGGGCAGAGACAGATGTTTTGGACTGGACGTGGCCCCAAAAAAGCTCTCAACTCGCTGAAGCCTAAAGCCTAAACCGTGCCAGGAATGTCTTCGTCCTGCTCAAGTAAATGTAGCCATGAGCTCGAAGGAATTGCTATGTTGAGGTGTAGTGTCTGAATTTAAGGCAATCCTCGCCGTAACATAGCGGCTCGTAGCGAACATGCATAGCCCCGACG